TTTCATTTTTACGCCCTTCCACCCTGCTCATGCCCACATTTCATAAAGGAAGTGTAAAAGAGAAAGAGATATTGCAACAAATTCTCAATATTATACCTGTTTTCTAAGACATGGAGTGGGAGTTGTTCCACCAACGACCCGATGAGACAGCTTATAGAAGTAACTTTCAAATTCAAATCCCTGTTCATATGTTTTTCCTTGATTTCGTTGAACTTCGATGAAATTCTTCTTACTTTCTTGATGTTCTTTGATGTTCTTGTTTTTTTCCTGAAATTCTCAGATATTTTTCAAAATTCATAGTACATACTTTCCTAATGTTATTAAATTTTCCTGTGGTTCACAGACCATCCTAAAGGTTGCAAAAATTTCCTCACGTTTAAAGAACTGTTTACAGCACATCATTGAAATTCATATAATGTTGCTATAGTTCACAGAACACTCTTGAAGTTCGTAGAACTTACCAGGTTGGGCATTGAACTCCCCTGAAGCTCACAAAATGTCCCTGAAGTTGGCAGGTCTGGAGAGCGAAGCTCACTTTTAAAGTTTGAAGAATTTTCCTGAAGTCTTTCCTGAAGTTCAATGAGCTTCTCTGAACGTTGTTGAATTTCTCTGCATAGTTCGCATAATTTCCTAGAAAGTCGCTGAACCTTCCTGAATGTTTTCTTATTCAAAATATGGGAATTGCAATGCAGCTCTAGCAATTCTGTAGTAATTCAAGGCTAGGACTACCTAAACTCACTGGGCAAGAGCAGCTAACCTCATGTGAGTTTCATTCCTGTATTATCGGTTAAACGATTTTCAAACCAATTCGTCATGGTTGCCAGAATTTATTTTCGATCTCGCCATTGAGTCAAACATATCTATTTTTTTTTTAAATCCAAGCAATTTTTTTTAAATTTTTTTTCCAGATTTTCTACACGATATCTCCAATAAAAACAAAAACACTCGAAACAGGACGAAAATCAATGCCTACTATGATTACGTGGCTGCCTCAGACTGTCCTGCTCGTTTCTTTTTCTTCTACATACTCTTATGAGGGAAGAGAAATTAATTAAGAAGTTGTTCTAGCAACAATTATTAATTGATTTTGGTCAAAGTCAACATAATCAATACGGATCTTACTTGAGAGTCAAAGAGAACTCCTTAATACCATTTAGATTAATTCAATCATCATTTGAACATTTTTTAACTGCATTTGTTCAATTCGTAATAGTTTTGTATCGTCGGCTTTGAAAACTTCAAAACACTTGTTCTCAAAAAACCCAAGATGAAATATTTTAAAACCATCACAGATTTGATTGTTAGGATCAAAACTAACATCCTGTCAAGGAAAATCTGAGGTACATGAATGTTGCAAAAAAAGTGCCTTCAGACATGGCGTGCGGCACTGGAGATTCGAAGCGCAATGTCTCGGTGATAACCCGCAGGAGCCAAATCCGAGACTGACAGTGCTCTCTAACTACCATGAAATGTGACTTAAAACTGAGCCGGAAAATCGACATTGCTTTTTGTAGGGTATTTCCTCCCCGTCAATTCAGATGGGCCACTTCCAGGGATGGTGGTTGCCCATGCAGAGGTGGGTTATACTCCATTCATAGTCACTGAGAATAGTACGACTGCCAGTATGGAGCCTTGTGGCACGTTTCCTTTTTACTTTTCGTGTTTCTTATGGTCACCTGGAACGTTGTAATGATAAGAAAGTTTTGGATGGCACGGAGAATGTGGCCAGACAAGCCCTATTCTTTGGAGAGTCTCCTAGAGCATCGTCGATTACCTGGCCCAGAGAAGCTAAGTACGTTCCTGTACCAAAGCCCTGTCGGAAAGCATGTAATCTATGATCCAGGTGATTGTTTTCTCGAAGGTACGCTGTCAACTTTTTTGTTGATGATCCGTTCGTAGATCTCACAGGCGCAGCTGGTTATTTGCGATTGGACGGAAGTCCTTGGGATCAATTGATGAAGATCCGTTCTTCGGTATGAGGATCACCAGGCTGTGAGGCCACTGCCAGCATTGATTTAATTTTTTAAGAAGCATTTGTTTGCCACGAATCGGAAGGTGCATCAGCATGGGGTATCCAATATCGTCAGGGCCTTCAGATCTTCCACTGCTACCAGCGAGAGCAGATGATAATTCCACCATGGTAAAAGGTTGGTTGATTGAGGAGTTTTGGCAATCGGATGGAATTACGAATGTTGATACGGAGTTCGTGCATGCTTTTTGCGGCGAAGGAAGGCTTCACTGTAGTTATTAACAGCTGAGAGATCAGTAAAATAATCCGCAAGGGTGTCGGCAACAATCGCAGGGTCCCGGGAGATTCCAGTCTGAAAGCGGATTCCATTCCCAGGGTGGCAAGTGAATTTCTATTTTGAAATTCCTGGTTTTTTTCCTGGTTTTCCTGGTCAATGATTTAAAAATGTCCTGGTTTAAAAAACCATGTATTTAAAAGAAACAATTTTTAATAAAAAAAATAAAGTGAATCCTTGTACCATCATTTCGCGCAATGCGAAGCCGCGCTACTTCGTCGTATCATGGCGCCTATTTCCGTTCTATGTGCTAAAACTATAATAGCAAAGCGTTTTCACTCATGTTTTTGCAAAAGCATCTTTGCTTACAAGATTGATTACGATTGACACTGAAACATTTGCGATAACCCGTAAAATGAGCGATTTTAGGGGTGTATGACGAAGAAAAGCTGAGATACGACGGACTAGCGCGGAGCCCTATCTAATGTCTGAAATTTAGTGATCTATAAGCCCCTAAATTTTGAGATTTCTGTTTTTGAAGCAGCGATTTTTTCAACTTTATTACTGAGAGTTTTAGCCAACGGGCTAGTTTATCTCAAGGTGAAATTGCGAAGTGTGATATGAATGAGGACTCTTTAAACAAACCTTTGCTTCTAACAATTTTACGGATTTCCAGTTTGTTTAAATTTTCCGCAAATTGTCAACGGTTAAGGATCTTATTTAGCTGAATTTTGATTACAACATGATTTCAAAATCATATGATTAAAAGATTTCATAAAGATTCCCTAAAGTTCGTAGAACTTCCCTGAAGCGTTAAGGTCTTTCTTGAAGGGTTCATTGAATTTTGTATTGCCTGAATTTCATGGGACTTCCCCGAAGTTCCAAGGACTTTTTTAAGATCTTAGGACTTCCCTGAAGTTCGAAGTTTTTTAAAATTCATAGGAATTTCTTAAATATCGTAGAAGTACCACGAAGTTCGTAGAAATTCTCAGAAATTCGTAAGACTTCCTTCAAGTTCGAAGAACTTTCTCGAAGATCTGAGGACTTCCCTGAAGTTTGAAAGACTTAACTGAATATATGAGGACCCTAAAATTAGAAGAGCTTCCCTGAAGCTCATAAAGCTTTAAATATCGAAGGGTTTTCCAAAAGTTTGTTGGTCTTTCCTTAATTTCTTGGAAATTCCCTGAAGTTTGGAGAGCTCTCATGAATTTCGTAGGACTACCTGTAGTTCAATCGACTTCTCGGAAGTTCTAGGAACTTTTTTGAGCTTGGAGAACTATGTTAAGTTCAGAGGACCTCCCAAGAGTATTGAAGACTTCTCTGAAGCTCGGAAAAAAATCCATAAGTGTCACAGGATTATCCTTAAGTATTAAGCAATGCCTAAATGTCGTAGAAGTTACATTAAATCTGTAGAAAATTCTGTAAAATTCGTAGTTATTCCCCAAAGATAAAAGGACTTCCCTGAAGTTCGTAAGACTTCTCTGAATTTTGTAAAACTTCTCTGAAGGTTCGGAGAGATTTCCTGACCGTCATAGGTCATCACAGTAGTTCACAGGATTATCCTGAAACTTGTAAGACTTTCCCGAATTTTGTAGAATTTGCATGAAATTCGAAGTTTTTATAAATAGAACTTTTTTATTGAACATGTTGAACAGGTACTTCAAAGTAGTTACGCGTCGGCGCTGCTTAAGTCTGCTATCAATTAAGCACAAATCATACATGCAATTGATTCTAGAAAAAAATTAATTTAAAAATAAATACAAAATATATTTACAAAATTCTCAGGGTAAATTTTGTTCATCAATGTTTAGTTGTGTGAAAGATTTAGTTTGAACAAAATGGTTAGTTTTGACCTGATTATAAAAAGAAACTTTGACATACATAAAATTTAAAACCTATTTAAATTATACAAACAAGATTATTTTCCTGGTGGACTTATGAAATTCCTGGTTTTTCCTGGTGAAAATAAATTCCCAACTTTTTCCCGGTTTTCCTGGTTCACTTGTCACCCTGCATTCCCGTTGATTTTCTTTTTACTTTACTCCGGAGTTCCGTAGCTGATTGGTTGCTGTTGATGAATTTCTCCCAGCTGTGACGTTAACTGCTCGCATTACTTTTCTCCTTGCTTTAATTGTCGATCGTGTTTCGGCAGTCTACCAGTGGAAGGCTCGCCGTTCAGAATTTGGGCTTGTCCGTGCGGCCAAGTGCATTGACTCGAAGGTGAGTGTTCGTCCAGGTTCGTCCATGCAAGTTTCAAAGTCCAGTCCGCTAGCGTGGTCGACGTGTAGTTTTTGGATGGTGATCGTTCGTGGAGATTTCGATTGGTCGGTGGTTGGATATTCTCTCATGATGCAAGGTATTCCAAAAACCACCAGGCGATCGGAGATCAAGTATTGTTCTGAAAATCTTGAACTATGCAACAATTCAAATCAAATTTTCAACTATGCAATGAGTCACCTGGTAATGAGGCACAACAATGCAGTCAAGCAAAATGAGATCAACTGGAGTATTCAAAATAAGTTACATCATAACAGCTTTGGTCGGGTAATTTATACCTACCCGAGTTGCACCGAACCATCAATCGATTCTCATCCTGGTTTGACTCTTCAACTTTCATCGAAATGTGACAAAGTTACGGTTATCAGTTTTACCTCGAACCATCAATAAAAAAAATCATGTAGGTACATAACAGCAAAACACACACCGCTTGCAGAATGAAATTGAACATTTCGAAGAAATCAACAGAAACTTGAAATCTTTTCCAGTTGTTGCTCGCAAGACCCTTACCGATCTTGAAAACACATTTAATTCATCTCTTCTTTTCGTCAATTTGGAAATATAGTTCTTATTTATTTGTATCCTACCGTGTTGATCCTATAAGTTATAAGTTCATTGCTAAATGTTCATTATTTAGTTTTAGTTTCCTATATTCTTACCATTTATTAGTTAGTAGTGTGAATTATTAATCATGATTGTTTACTGGGATCCATCATTCAGAATGACAAATCTCCGCGGCGATAGTTGGCTAAAATGTGGCCGAACTGAAGACTTTTAGAATTGATAAGATAAAACGATTCAAATAAATTAATCTCTCTTTCTTGATGCCTCCAATTGGGGGTGGAAATGTAACTTAAAATTTAGGCGAATGTAATACCAGACATAAGAAGGGTAATAAACGAAGATGCTTGCTTTCAAAACGTGGGTTACGTTCCTGAGATCAATGTTGATTTGTGAGTTCCGGTTGCTTAAGCTTTGTTTGTTTTGTTCTGTATAAATTGATTTGTTTGATTGTGGGACCGGGGTTTGTTGCTACAAAAAAAAATACCATCATGCTTTTGCTTTTCAATTTATACCTTTTTTTTTGGGAATTTGAATCCTAACTATGTATAGGTATCTGGTACCGAACACGACGACAGGAACTCTCGCTCAATTTGTTACGTTTGCCTTCTCGTTCGGGTTTAGAAGTTTTTATTTCTAAATGTACTTTTTTGTTTGAGGAAAATTCTGAATCAATTGGAAAGAGTTTGTCTTATTTTTGTCATTGAAGTGCAAATAAAAAAGTTTTTACATTCTACAGTTTAAAACTATCGCTTTGCCTATAAATTGAACATAAGTTTGCCCTTGCACACTAACACGTCGGAGAGGGCAAGCAACTGGACGTGCGTCCAGGTCCGCCACAAATGTATGCAAGTGTTTCCGATACTGTATGCGTGGATGTTTGTTTTTTTTCTGTATGTTTGTCAGGGCGTGGGAAATTTACTGTTTCATTATGCTAGTAGCGGGCTATTTCCGGTACGCGGCCAACGCTGATCATGCAACAGCGGTCGTTTCCTTCTTCGATTCCTCACCGCCGCCGGCTTTGGCATCCTCTTTATCACCCGTCGTTTCGGCTATACCAACAAGATTGCAGAAAGAAGAAAAACGAAAAAACGATTCCAACATCAGTAAGTAAATCATTTATTTCCTTAAAAATCAACAGATCTAAGTATCAGACAAAAAATTGCAAACCTTTCACTTCCGCTTCGTCCTTCATGTCTTCCGACTTGGCATCCTTGTCCAGCCGTGGTCTCTTCCGTGCACCGCCCTTGTACGATCGGTTATCCCTTCGGCCGCCCTCGCCTTCGTCTTCCGAGTCGGAGAACTCATTATCCGGCACTATCCGTTTGTCCTTGTCGCTTTGTGGCAGTCGTTCGTCCTTGTCGATCTTGTCCTCGTCGTCGCTTTCCTCATTGACCGCATCCTCTGGGATTGCTTGCACCTGCACCCCTGGAGCATGTGGCAACATTCGCAAATTTTCGAACAACCGGTTCTTGATCTTCTCCAAGTATTCCGTCGTATTCTGGTTGCTCATGTTGCTCGGGCTGATATGCAGCTTAAAGTCCGGTCCGAAGTATTCAAAGTAATCGTTGTACGGCAGCTCGTTGGCAATTTCGCAACCCAACGCAACCGAGGTTTCGTACGTCCAGCAGCGGGAAACGTTTCGGATGGTATAGCCACCGCCGCCCACCATCAGGAAGGGAAGATTGTACTTCTTGACAAACTCCACGCACTTCCCGTGGCCCTTGACCGTCAGGTTGAAACAGCCCAGACGATCGCCGGTGAGGGAATCGGCACCGCACTGGAGCACCACCGCCGACGGTTGGAACGTTTCCATGACCTGGAAGAAACAGGAGACACATTTTTTTTAGATGTCAGATTATTTTCAGTCTAATGAAGAGAATCGATCAATGCAGATAGGACCTTCTGAAATGTTCAGAATATGGTTGGAGTTTTGTCATATTCGGTTACGACCACTGGCTTGCCGGCCAACAATTTATCCAAAAGCAATCAAAATGTCAGTTTTTTTTTTTTTTTTTTTTTTTTTTTAACTCTTTATTTGTTCCAAATTCAAAATAAATTACATTTCATTTTAACCTAGGTGCTCCAGTTACTGCAGTAACTTACCAGCCTTAATTGTTATGATATATATCTAAGTGTTTTTACATTGTTCATGTCTTGGCAATTCAGTATTTTAAACAGGTTTTTTAACCTGCATGTCAGTATAACAATTGATATCTTAAAACTAAAAACTAAAACTAAATCTTATCTAAGTATAAAGGGAATTAATCGTTGCAATTGAGGATTGCAACGATTTTTGCCTGAAATTATTAATTATTTTGTTGGACATTTGTGCTAAAGTCTCAACATTCGAAATTCTATGTACTTCGGTTGTACTGTACCAGGGAGGCAACTTCAAAATCATTTTCAGAATTTTGTTCTGAATCCTTTGAAGTCCTTTTTTCCTGGTAGTGCAGCAACTAGACCATATTGGCACAGCGTAAAGCATGGCCGGTCTAAAAACTTGTTTAAATATTAGGAGTTTATTCGTCAGGCAAAGTTTGGATTTCCTGTTTATAAGAGGATACAAACATTTTATATATTTGTTACATTTGGCTTGAATGCCCTCAATGTGATCTTTAAAAGTTAATTTTTGGTCAAGAACTAATCCAAGATATTTCACTTGGTTTGACCAGGAAATTGGAACTCCGTTCATAGTGACTATGTGACTACTACTAGGTTTCAAAAAGGAAGCCCTGGGCTTATGTGGAAATATTATAAGTTGAGTTTTGGAAGCGTTGGGAGAAATTTTCCATTTTTGTAAATAAGAAGAGAAAATATCTAAACTTTTCTGCAGTCTGCTGCAAATAACACGAAGACTTCTTCCTTTAGCGGAAATGCCTGTGTCATCAGCGAACAAAGATTTGTGGCAACCCTGAGGCAAATCAGGGAGGTCCGAAGTGAAAATGTTATACAATATAGGCCCAAGAATGCTACCCTGAGGAACTCCTGCTCTAACAGGTAGTCGATTAGATTTGGAATTTTGATAATTTACCTGCAGAGTTCTGTCAGTTAAATAATTTTGAACTAATTTCATAATATAAAGTGGAAAATAAAACTTTTTCAATTTAGCAATCAAACCTTCATGCCAAACACTGTCGAATGCTTTTTCAATGTCTAGAAGAGCAACTCCAGTTGAGTGGCCTTCAGATTTGTTTGAACGAATTAAATTGTTAACTCTTAAGAGTTGATGAGTAGTTGAATGCCCATGGCGAAATCCAAACTGCTCATCTGCAAAAATTGAGTTCGTATTGATGTGAAGCATCATTCTATTCAAAATTATCTTTTCAAAAAGTTTACTTATTGAAGAAAGCAAACTTATTGGACGGTAGCTAGAAGCTTCAGCTGGATTTTTATCCGGCTTCAAAATTGGAACAACTTTTGCATTTTTCCATTTATCAGGAAAGTATGCCAAATGGAAACATCTGTTAAATAATTTTACCAAGAAAGACAAGGTACTCTCTGGGAGTTTTTTGATGAGGATATAGAAAATTCCATCATCACCTGGAGCTTTCATATTTTGAAATTTTTTAGTTATAGACCTTACTTCGTCCAAATCAGTCCCCCAGGAATCATCAAAAATATTTTCCCGAGAGAAAATATTCAGAAAATCCCGAGCAACCTGATTCTCAATAGGACTAGTAAGACCCAAACTGAAATTATGGGAACTCTCGAATTGCTTAGCAAGTTTCTGAGCTTTTTCCAAATTTGTGATCAAAATTTTACCACCTTCTTTAAGCGCTGGAATAGGCTTTTGAGGTTTTTTCAAAATTTTTGTGAGTTTCCAAAAGGGTTTGGAACTCGGGTCTAATTTAGAAATATTATTTTCAAAAGTTTTGTTCCTCAGGGCAGAGAATCGCTTTTTAATTTGTTTTTGCAAATCCCGCCAGATAACTTTCATGGCAGGATCGCGTGTTCTTTGAAATTGTCTCCTACGGACATTTTTAAGACGGATCAAGAGCTGAAGATCATCGTCTATTATAATTGAATCGAATTTAACCTCGCATTTTGGTACTGAGGCAGCTCTTGCTTCAACTATAGAAGTAGTCAGAGATTCAAGAGCATAATTAATTTCATCTTTGGTTTGCAAAGGAATGTTTGGATCGAAGTTATATTCCATAAATGTTCGATACTGCTCCCAATCAGCTCTATGGTAATTGAAAGTAGAGCTGTTGGGATTACAAATTATTTCTTGGGATATTTCAAAAGTTACTGGAAGGTGATCAGAACCGAAGTCAGCATGGGTAACCAATTGGCTACAAAGTTGACATGAATCAGTTAAGACCAAATCAATAGTGGAGGGATTTCTTGTAGAAGAAAAGCATGTTGGGCTGTTTGGATATTGAATAGTGTAATAACCTGCAGAACAATCATCAAACAGAATATTACCATTGGAATTGCTTTGCGCATTATTCCATGAGCGGTGTTTTGCATTAAAATCACCAATAATGAAGAATTTAGACCTATGACGGGTAAGTTTCTGGAGGTCACCCTTGAGAAAATTCTTTTGCTGGCCTACGCATTGGAATGGCAAATAGGCAGCTATAAACGTAAGTTGTCCAAATTTTGTTTCAACAGAAACTCCCAAAGTTTCAAAAACTTTGGTTTCAAATGAAGAAAGAATTTTATGTTTGATTCGTCTATGAATAATGATGGCAACGCCACCACAGGGTCCATCAAGACGATCATTTCTATAAATCAAGTAATTTGCGTCCTTCTTAACCTTATGGGCAGGTTTAAGGAACGTTTCAGTTATAACGGCAATATGCACGTTATGAACTCTTAAAAAGTTAAATAGCTCGTCTTCATTATCTTTAAGAGATCGAGCATTCCAATTTACAATATTTAATGCTTTAAAATCCATTACTGAATTTTAAAGTCATGACAATATTATTTGCAAATTTTACTCCAGTTTGAATAGCATCAAACATGGAGTTAGATTTAAGCATATCAGAAATCATGTCAATTAATGAATTCTGTAAAAATTCCATTTTGGGGGCAGTAATGCTTCCTAAGTCAAAATTGTCAAAATTTCCGTTAGAACGTTGGTTAGTATTTTGATTTCTACCCGCTGCAATAGCAGCATAGGTAGCTCCATTAACTCGCTGAACATTGTTAGCAGCGAGGGGAGTAGGTACAGATGAAACATTTGAAGCAGGGGAGATATTTGTACCTACGGGTACGAATGTAGAATTTGTTCCTCGCTGACCGTTGTTAACAGCAGAGGAATTTGTACCTGGTCGGAAACGTGGAGCGTTTCCTACCTGACGGTTAGAACGAGATTGTAGGATCGCTTTGCGAGTCTTACATTCCCAAAAATTGGATTTGTGGTTTTCACCACAATTTGAACATTTAAATTTCTTAGGATCTTCCTTCACAGGACAGTCGTCCTTTGCGTGAGAGGAATCACCACAATTCATGCATTTAGCTGGCATGTAGCAATTTTTAGTTCCGTGACCCCATCCCTGGCACTTACGGCACTGGGTGAGGTTTTGGAAATTTCCTCCAGTCTTCCTGAAGTGTTCCCACTTCACTCGGACATGGAGCATAAGGCTAGCTTTTTCTAAGGCCTTAAGGTTGTTTAGTTCACTAGACTTGAAGTGAACTAAATAAAAATCATTAGAAATCCCGTTGCGCGAATCGCCAGGACGGGATTTCATTTTCATTTTGATTACTTGGAGTGGCACAACTCCAAGTAATTTTGCCAGTTCATCTTTGATCTGATCCAGGGATTCACCACTGGGCAGTCCTTTCATGACAACCTTGAACACACGTTCAGTTTTGGTGTCGTAAGTAAAAAATTTGTGCTTCTTCTCAGTAAGATACTTGAGAAGACATTTAAATCCGTCCAAGGTTTCAGCCAATACACGGCATTCACCCCGACGTCCAATTTGTAGTGAAAACTTAACTTTCACGAAATTCAAAAGTTCCATGCGAAGAGCATGGAAATCGGTAGTGGTTATCACAATAGGGGGAATCTTTTCCTTCTTGGCATTAAGCCGGGAAAGTTTACTAGAATTTTTCTTGGATGATGGATCATTCTCATCATCCGTGAGCAAATCAAATTGATTACTCAAATTAATTTCATCAGAAGGGGGGTCAAGAGTTTGCCCCTTTCTTTTGCGTTTAGGCGCCATGGCGGCAGTAAATTTTTATCCAAATCGACTTCCAAGCAGATTACTATAAGAATCTGAAGGATCGAAGAGGAATTTTCCAAATTGATATCCAAGAAGGATTACCTCGGGTAGGGTCCAAACAAGGATCGAAGAGGAATAAGAGTTGAACAAGGTAGAAAATTTTTTACAGGTTGAGCACTGAAAAGTGCTGTTTAAATTTGTTGTAGCTTTAGGTAGTAGTAACACTTCCTTCAGCAAAAAGCAAATAGATCCGCACGGCAAGAGAGCACGATGCGGACTGTGTATCAAAATGTCAGTGATAAACCGTTCAATATAGGTAATCAATCGTAATCGTTAAATAGTAATCATCGATTGGCGAGCTTGTTTTAGATTATGAGGATTTCATGGTGGTTCAAGATAGCTCCAGGAGATTTTCAGGGAGACTTAAATGGTATTGGTTCTTTCGAGAACGTTTGGGGTAAACCTAGATCACTCCTAATAGAAGTTTGAAGGATTTATAGAGAAACATTTTTTTTAGGGAAACGGCAGAGAAAAGAGCCAGGTACGGAAATGTGCGTACTATCGTGGCAGAAGAAAAATTTGATCAAACTGAACCAGAAGGCGACGAATTTCTGTGGACAAAGATTGGATGAGTTTTGGTTCA